CTTCAGGCTCAGGACAGGTGCTCCCTATCAGCTCTCAGTGACTTTGCACAGTAGCCTCAACCAGCTTTAACACCATTCACACTTTTAAAAGTGTCTTAGAAGTGAATTTGTACTATTCTGTTTGAATTTGGAAAAGTATTTGCCCATTTTTGCCTTTTATTAAAGTATAGTGAAAAATTGTCTTCACTTCCCACTTGAAAGTCTTTGTACCGGACTTCAACTCAAGAGAACTTTTTTTCCTAAACAATTTTCAGCTAAATTGATTGGGATATTTTCACAGAAATAATATTACAGTAAAGTTATGAAATCCTAGAGTACAGTTAAAAGTTTAAAAATAACAAAATTATGTTCATTGCAGTAGTTTAGTACTTGTGTTTTTATTTTGCTTTTTTTCATTTTGGTTTGTTTTTTTGAGACAGAGTCTCATTCTGTCACTCAGGCTGGACACAATCTCAGCTCACTGCAACCTCTGCCTCCTGGACTGAAGTGATTCTCCTGCCTCAGCGTCCCGAGTAGCTGGGACCCAGGCATGCGCCACCACACAATGAAAAATTAGCCCAGCTAATTTTTGTACTTTTAGTAGAAACAGGGTTTAACCATGTTGGCCAGGCTGGTCTTGATTGCCTGACCTCAAGGCATCCACCACCGTGGCCTCCTAAAGTGTTGGGATTCCAGGTGTGAGCCACCATACCCTGCCAGTACTTGTGTTTTTTAAAAGATTGCTCTTAAAATGTAGTGTTATGCCTAATCAGCCAACTTTGACCTAGTATTTCTTAAGTAGCTTGAAGAGTAAGTTACATTTTCCAACCATTTCTTAAGTAGCTTGAAGAGTAAGTTACGTTTTCCAACCAGGTTAATAATTTTGTGCTTTCTTTTGTGTTTTGGATGTCTTGTAGTAAACTGTAATTTCCTTAGCACTCCTATTTTGGTATTTTTGCAAATCTCTACAGACAACTTTTTAAAAACCTATTTATAATAAGGTCAATAGTGTAAACTAGAAAACAGGGTTTCCACGAAGTGCTCCAGATACTGAATATGTTAAAAGAAAGACATCGGATGTTAGGCTAGCAAAACCCTGCCGTTTAATGTGCTAAAAAGAGTGTTGTAAATTAACTTTGGTACAAATTGCCAGTCATCTCTAGATCATTTTAAGCATTTTAAGAATATTTATCAGTCTAAGTACAGAAGAATAATTGCCAGCAGTGATTATTTGCTTTGGATTAGAGTTTTTAAAAATCCACCTCACTGAAATGGTTATGTTCATCACAGTTTGCAAGGGTTGTCTGTTTCTCGAGCTAGAAGCTCTTGGGGCCATTCTTATGAAATGATATTTAGCGCATCTATTGTGTGCCACATACCCAAAGAAGCAAAACTCAAATTTGAAAGTGTATTTCTGAACATGACCTATAGTGTGGCTAGATATTTTATGATCATGCGATAGTCTAAGTAACTAAACCTTCTTATTCAGTATTTTTAAGTTAATGTTAAACTTGCATATAGTAGGAATATTGACTTTTCATAGCCAATTTGATGTACCTCATTTTCTTGTTAAATGTATGACTCATGATTTATTCTTCCAATACCAAAAAATATAATTTTTTAAGAGTGTAATTGTAAGATGACCAAGTACACGTGAGTGGAATGCGGCTACTGTAGGTGGGGGTGTGTGTGCATGCACGTGTGCTCCTTGCTGTGTGCTGCTGTCCGTGGTCTGTTCAGAGTGAAGGGGAAATAGGAGGAATGACCAAGCTCTGCCTGTGTGTATTAGACATTTATAGATGTGCATCGGATGCATTACTTTATGCTCTTGTCCTTCACTCTGTTTTATTCCTTCCTTAAAGCCATGTGACTCTGGGTTTAACAAACAGAGACAGGTACAGAAACTCTCAGTGAAATCTTACTTTTCTTATTAGACTACTAGAGGCAATCATTGGCGACTTCATGCTGGGCTGTCTATAAATCTGTGCTTGTTAAGGTGCCTTCTCTTTATTACTTGCTTCCAGCCATTGCATGGCACTCATTTCTGACTAATCAATTCTGTGCTTATTTAATACATTTACCAAAGATGATCATGTTTCAGAGTGTAGTTTTAATCTACTTAGAATACACAATGATATAGTTACCTCAAGGTCATTTCAGTATTTTGATAGCTTTACTTTTACCTGGAGAAATTCTGATCTGTGTAAATTCTGAAGTTTATTTTTAACAGTTTAAACACACTAATATCTTCTGCATTCGGCTTTCTGAATTAGAAAATTTTTTCAACAAATTCTGATGTTAAAATCAATATGCTAAAATGGTCTGTTCTTGACTTATAACAGATAATTGCAAGTAAGAACGCATGATAAACATTAAAATATTATCATTTGAACTAGTCTGTGTATTCTCAAAGTAATACGCTTAGTTTCTAGTAAGAATTTGCCTACTGAATTATTGAATATGCTTTTTGCCCTTTCCTTATCATTTTTGCACTCTTTCTCCTCCCTTTTATGACGTTTCTACCCCAAAATTATTGGTTGTAAGATTCTTGTGGTTTCAAAATAATTTTCTTATTTGTGATTATTTTAGAAAAGGTCTAGTAGGTAATTACCATTTCTTCTTTATTCAAAGAAGCATATTATAACACATTAATTGATAATTTAGCTCTTGTATAAAGCCCAACTTATTATAAGAGTCAGACTATAGTTTTGATGGAATTACGAATATCTTAATGTCCATGTGTCTTTCTTTTCTTATAAAGCTTTTAAAAGTAATTCAGAGGTAACATATATATTCTACATAATCCCCAATGAAGGATAAAATATGCTTTAAAGTAACTGATAAATTGTAAAAGTTGTAAAAAGATTGTGAAAGTAACATCGGGTAGAGCTTTTTGCTTTAAAGGAAGAGGGCAGTATCTTTATTGATGTGTCTCTGTTGCTGAATTCTCAGCTTCTCCATGGACATAAAATTCTCTTCATTATTTTACAATTTTGCCTCCAAAGCTGACAGTTAGTTTGATCCATGTCTATTATACTTGTCGTTTTTAGCACAATCAGAAGTAGAGAGATTTGGGGATTTTTGAAATAAAGTTTTTACTGTAAAATAATTTTAACCCTAAAGAAAAGATGCAAACAAATACTATTCTGTCAACGTAAACATCTTTCATAACTGTAGTATAATAATCAAAAGCAAAAATTAAAATTGGTTTAATACTATTAACTAAACTACAGACTTTATATGAATTTCAGTAACTTTTCCACAAATGTCATTTTTCTGGTCCAGGATTCAATTAAGTTGCATTTTATTTCTCCGTAGTCTGTTTTAATCTGTGACAGTTTCTTGATCTTTCCTTATCTTTCATGACCTTAATTAACACTTTTAAGGAATACTGGCTAATTATTTTGTGGAACGTCCCTCAATTTGGGTGTCTGATGTTTCCTCGTGATTAGAAGGGGACTGTATATTGCTAGAAAACTGCAGGAGTGATGCTATGCCCTTCCCAGTGCATCAGAGTCGAAGGTTCATAATGTCCATAAGCCTTCCCACCACTGATGCTAACCTTGGTCACTTGGTTAAGGTGGCATCTGCCAGGTTTCAGCACTGTAAAGTTTTATTGTTCCTTCTATAACTAGTAAATATCTTGGAGGAGATACTTTGAAACTCTGCAGATATCCTGTTTCTGCTTATACTTTTGCCCATTAATTTTCGCTTCCATCTGTGGATCATGTGTACACGCACTGTTACTGTGTTTGCCTAATGGTCATTTTCTGTTTTTCTCTTCTACATTTATTAATTGGAATTCTGCAAAGAAAAGCTGTCTCTGCTTCCTAATTAATTCACTTTTTTCAGTTATTTAGTCATATTAGTATGGACTCATGGATATTTATTTTATCTGTGAGGCATAATCCAGTAAGATCATTAGTTATTTTGTCGATTAGACTATTTTTTGTGATTTTTTTGAAAACAAAAAATGTAAACAAGTGTAACTGTATCCAGAGCAAGGAGACTGTTTGAGGAATAAAAGCATTTGAAAGATAGGAAAGATAAATATGACTCAGCAATAAGAAGAAATGAAGGACTGGCATGTTACGACATGGTGGACCTTGAAAACATTGTTAAGTGAAAGAAGTTGGAAAAAGGAAAATAGGAAGTTATAAGACCTGATAATTTAGAGTTCTGGTTCAAGTTTACCACTAACTATTTGTTCTGTGACTTTGAAGTCCTAACTTTGACCAGGCTGATGCACCCTCTAAACCACAGTGGGCACAAGATGCATTTATCATTGACCACGGGCAGATGGTTTGTTAGCATCCACATTCCGAAAATGTTCTACTTCTAAATAAATACTAGACTTATTTATTATTTTGACTTTCTTTTTAAATGAGAACAAATTTTAATAGATGGTATTTACTTTCACGTGTGTTAAGAATTAATACTGTTGTTTTATATTTACATGATAATTTAACAGATGCTAAAGGAAGTTTTAGATCCCTTGGATACAATATGATCAAGATCTGAAAACTTCAGCTCTTGTAACTATTGAGGTAGTCTGTAGAAACACTCAAAGTTGCTTAATTGTCTAGTATAGGTACTTTTAAATTATTTTGTAGGTTTATTTTTTGTATTCATATAATATTGGCATCAGTAGTTTTCTGTCTTTTTGGATGTGTGTTTTTTTTTAACTTCTCTTCTTCCTCTTATTAAGCACAGCACCCTTCTCTCTTAAGGTTAGGCAGTAAACATTTGAGAAGTTGGCCTAGGCTTTGCTCATGAAATGTTCTGTTTTCTTAGGAAAACTGGTTTTGACCAGGCTGTATCAGCTGTAATGAAAGCTACTCATTAGGTTATAACAGTAACTAAATCTATTCCCTAATGGTATTTCCTTACCATGCTAAACACATTTGTTGTTTTTACCTTACTTCATGGTATAACTTAATGAGTTTTTCTCTGTCACATGACCTCATTATAGATGGCATTAAATGCTTATTCATACCTGTATTTGTCCTTGACTTCTCTAGGGGTCAGGCGCAGCCCCAGGCCCAGTGATATTACTGAATTCACTGAATGTGGATGCAGTATGTGAGAAGCTGAAACAAATAGAAGGGCTGGACCAGAGTATGCTGCCTCAGTATTGTGCCACGATCAAAAAGGTGAGGCAGCCATTTACACACGGACCAGAGACAGCGCTGGGAGTGGAAGACAGGACTCTGTGGGTCATGTACAGTTTACCTACAGCTTCCCACACATGCATTCCCTGTTAAAATGAGAAAGCTCTAAATGGAAAACATAGTTCTTACTAGTTTGTATTCTAAAATTGCCCTGTTTTCTCTTATTTTATAAATGGATAAAATAAAGTAGCTGTCTCACCATGTTCTTTTTTAAATAACCTAATTCAAGTAAAGAATGCCTTGATGAGAAATACAGAGCTCCGAGGGATTCCCATTGGGATAAGCAGAACTCATCTTTCCAGTGGGGAACAGAAGACCTTTTGTGCTACATTTTTTTCTAATTGTAATATTTGTTAGTGTGATTTAGTCATTATCAAAGTAAGCCACACTTGCCTCATTTTCTCCAAATTCTCATTTTCATGTCATGTAGGACTTAGGATCATGTCACATTTGATGAAACCTCATAGGTTTGGATTTGCAAGGTTAATGCATTTGCATAATTTTTTTTTCTTCTAAGATCCTATTGCAATTCTAGCAGCTATCAGGAAGTTGGATAGAGATGCCTGAGATTTGGGGAAGGTTTTAACGAAGTCATTATAGTAGATATTTCACTAAGGTGTACTTTTTATATCAGAGTACCATGTAATAAAGTAGAACATTAATAACCAGCCTCTAATATTTATATACTTGAAAGAATGACATCTGAGAGAAGTTTTTAAAAGAATTATGAGCATATGTAGACACCATTTTACTCAGCCACTTTTAGAAAGGTTTCAGATAATGTCAGTTTCCTTACAGAGCTGGCTCGTGCTGGTCCCTGTTTGCATGAGTCAAACACCAGCTTTTCCATGGACAAGCCCCACTTTCTCCTCCAGGCAGCTGGTTGGTGTCAGGAAAGAGCAGGGTCTCCCACATGAGTCCTTTGTGATGATTTTGTTCCCGTCGAGGGAGTGGTTTTCTCCCCACTCAGCTCTTTGCTCCCAGGCCCTGGCTTTCTGAAGCCCCTCAGAGCCGCTGGCCTCCGTGCTGAGGGCTTCGTGGCATTGGTGCAGCAGGACCTCTGTCACAGACTTGCTGTGTATACTGTTTTCTTCAGGATTAACTTGGAAACTGAACATTCTACTGATTATAAACATAGCTATTTCATCAGTTTGCCCCAGTTAATAAAGTCAGGTTTTACATTTTATAAAAGCAGTAAGCTACCTATTATTAATAAAGAAAATGCTGTTGTTTCATTTAGGGGAAACTAGAATTACAGGGAACCAAAAGTGATAACTTCCTTTTTCATGATTTTTTTTTTCTTTGGGATGGAGTTCTGCCATGTCACCCAGGCTGGAGTGCAGTGGTGTGGTCATGGCTCACTGCAACCTCCGCCTCCCGGGTTCAAGCGATCCTCCTCCCTCAGCCTCCCAAGCAGCTGGGACTACAGGCATGTGCCACCACTCCCAGCTAATTTTTGTAGTTTTAATAGAGATGGAATTTCACCATGTTGGCCAGCCTGGTCTCAAACTCCTGACTTTAGGTGTTCCACCCACCTCAGCCTCCCAAAGTTCTGGGATTACATGCGTGAGCCACCGCGCTGGGCCTTGTAAATTTAATAGACTGGGAAATTAGTGGGTGGGCATTCTTCATATCTGTATCTAATATAACGGATAAACAAGTTCACCAGGCCTACTTCGTTTAGAACTTTATTAGTGACCAACACACTTATGAGGACAGATGTCTTTGTCCCCTCCCAGCAGCTTGTGCTCATGTTCATATTTTCTAAGATTAGAAAACAAAAACTAACAGTTTTGTTGTTGCTCATGACAGCATAGGTAGTTTTGGAAATAGTTAGGAGGGTTAGCCTTCGATTGGTTCCAGCAAATGCCTAAGACATTTGGGAAAATATGGAGTGGCTTATGTTGTTCAAATTTAGCTTGTTTATTGTATTATTATATGGGATGGTCAGCCTTTCTGGTCTCTAAAGAGTTTCTTAAAACTAAATATAAGCATACTTTGCAATCACTAGTAATTCAGAATATTTCATATTCTGTCTTTATATACCCATAATTGTTTTAATTTTTACTCAGGCAAACATAAATGGCCGTGTGTTAGCTCAGTGTAACATTGATGAACTGAAGAAAGAGATGAATATGAATTTTGGAGACTGGCACCTTTTCAGAAGCACAGTAAGATATTTATAACATTGTGATATTTACAACATTATTTTATTATAACATTCAAAATTATAACATTGTAGAAAACCAGTATCAATAAGTACTGGCCTAAACTGGTATTTTTTTCATATTTTTTTTAAATTTAAAAACTGTATCTTACACTTATATGCAGTTGTGTGTTGTGGAAAATACACACAGCAGCACTTGGCAGCCTTTGCCTTTTTGGGCATTTCACTCAGTGATTTGGGGAAGAGTCTGCCTGCCAGTTCTTCATGGTTTCACCTGCCCTAACTCTCATCAGGCTCCTCAAAGCCTTTGAGGCCTTGACCTTCAGCATTTGTCCTTATAAAGGGCTTGCATTGCCCAGGTTTAGCAAGAATCCTGTTAAGTCAGTTTACATGTGTGATCACCCTCGGTACTTGATCAAATGCCTCACCACCTCCCCGCCGCAGGTGATGTCTGCTCACCCTGGCCATCGGCGTACCCCAGAGTCCCCCACTCTTGCTGCCTCCCTTTGGTAATGTTCCATCCACGGTGCCCACCCTGCCCCTTGGTGGTAGATCCCCACTCATTCGCGCTTATTCTGAATTGAACTCCCTTCTGTAGTGAGACTGCTTTTCCCTGTTGCCATAGTTCTGAATAAAATCTGGATCTACTGCTCTACTCCTGGCCCCCTCTGGTTTTGACACATGCCAGCTGCATTTTGCTTTGTCTTAAGTTTTAAACAGGAGTAATAATTTAATGGACAAATTGCAGTGTAGTATATGTATGGTGGTTTCTACCATTGCTTCCTTTATTATTAATTAACATGAAAGATAAGCTGATGTGTAAAACATATTCACTAGAAATTCACTTACCAGAAGTATGCTTTCTCATTGCTGTTGCAGTAGCTTTATTTTTCTAAACTATTTCTAAAGCTTCCAAAATATGATTTGTTAGTGTAAATATTTACATTTTTCTTCTGTTAAGGTACTAGAAATGAGAAACGCAGAAAGCCAGGTGGTCCCTGAAGACCCACGTTTCCTCAGTGAGAGCAGCAGTGGCCCAGCCCCACACGGTGAACCTGCTCGCCGCACTTCCCACAATGAGCTGCCTCACACCGAGCTCTCCAGCCAGACGCCCTACACACTCAACTTCAGCTTCGAAGAGCTGAACACGCTTGGCCTGGACGAAGGTGCCCCTCGTCACAGTAATCTAAGTTGGCAGGTATTTATTGAATGGCATTTTTCGTATTATTGAAGAATAAGGGCACCGTTCAGTTCACTGAGATGATGTGGGCATTGAAACAGTCATTCAGAAAATGCTTACTAAATACCTAAGTGGACAAGAGACAAGATGGAGGGCTTCCTGTACTCAAGGAGCTGCATCCATCTGGAGAGGGGCAGTCAGTGAAAACAAAGAAAAAAGTAGCTCATGTAGACATTGACGAGAGCTGAGATTTCCATCAGGGTCACAGCATGCAGAGTCAGTAGGGACCGGGTTACTTGAGCTAGGGTGGTTAGCAAATTCAGCCTTTCCCAGGCGATTTTCCTGTTGCATTCAGTAACTGTTGGTTAAAGTACATCTTCATTGGAACACTGGCCACGTAGTGTCCCTTTGAGCACCATCCTTTGGTTTTCCAGGCCGCCTGCACACCCTTCCTGGATATTGGTTTCTTCTCATCTGGCATTAGATGTAGGCGCATTCTTCCTTTGGAGATTCTTAGAAGAGGGAGGCCAGGTGAGGGGTGGGGCAGGGACAGAGCAGAGTGAGAGATGCAGGAGGAGTAGGGGGAGTGAGGAGAGTGCGGCAGGAAAAGCAGAGCAGAGCACAGAGAACAACGGGAGGAGGCACAGTGGGAGGCAGCGAGGAACACCGAGTGGGCAGGGCAAGGCAGAGCAGCACTGAGGAGGAGCAGTGCCCTGGGGAAGGAAGAAAATGTCCTATTTCCTTGAGAAGGTCCCCAGCAAATTCACTTTGCTGCTTCTTTTTTGTTTTAGCTTTTGCTCTTGACCCTTCTTAAACTTTCTTGATTCTTCTCCTTCCGTTTCCCTCTTCTTTTTCCTCATCTGTCCTTTTTGCTCCTTGTTTCTTAGCTATTCTGGGATCTGAAGCAATTTCTAATTCTAAAACTTCATATTGGAAATAAACTTGTAAAACTATTTTATTTTTCTGTTTACTAAGGCCCAACTATTGGCCTCATTGCATTTTGTATTTTATCAATGAAGTTGACTTTGGCCTTAAATGAAAGCTAAATGTTTGAAGTTATAAAAACAAGTGCTGTGGCCAAGCATGTGGCACATGCCCATAGTCCCAGCTGCTCAGGAGGCTGAGGCGGGAGGATCGCTTGAGTCCAGTAGTTTGAATGTAGCCTGGGCAACACAGCAAGATCCTGTCTCCTAAAAATAAAATGAAAACCAGAAACAAGTGCTAAGATTATTGGTTAATACAATGTTTAATTATACTTTTAAATATTAACAATAAACTGATTTTATTAAAATTTATAGAAAGCTTTCTAATAACAGCATTATTTATAAGGTCACAGCTTTTGCTAAACTGTGTTATGTAGAATTCTTTTAAAAGAATTTGATATTTTGATGACTTTTTAAATGGTTAGTGTACATATATATTTCCTAAGCTGATGTTTATGCCTTTTTTTTCTTATTTGAATTTTTAAATTATTTTTTTTCTGTCTTCACAGTCACAAACTCGCAGAACCCCAAGTCTTTCGAGTCTCAATTCCCAGGATTCCAGTATTGAAATTTCAAAGCTTACTGATAAGGTGCAGGCCGAGTATAGAGATGCCTATAGAGAATACATTGCTCAGATGTCCCAGTTAGAAGGGGGCCCAGGGTCTACAACCATTAGTGGCAGATCATCTCCACATAGCACATATTACATGGGTCAGAGTTCATCAGGGGGCTCTATTCATTCAAACCTAGAACAAGAAAAGGGGAAGGATAGTGAACCAAAGCCCGATGATGGGAGGAAGTCCTTTTTAATGAAGAGGGGAGATGTTATCGATTATTCATCATCAGGGGTTTCCACCAATGATGCCTCCCCCCTGGATCCTATCACTGAAGAAGATGAAAAATCAGATCAGTCAGGCAGTAAGCTTCTCCCAGGCAAGAAATCTTCTGAAAGGTCAAGCCTCTTCCAGACAGATTTGAAGCTTAAGGGAGGTGGGCTGCGCTATCAGAAACTCCCAAGTGACGAGGATGAATCTGGCACAGAAGAATCAGATAACACACCACTGCTCAAAGATGACAAAGACAGAAAAGCCGAAGGGAAAGTAGAGAGAGTGCCAAAGTCTCCGGAACACAGTGCTGAGCCGATTAGAACCTTCATTAAAGCCAAAGAGTATTTATCGGATGCCCTCCTTGACAAAAAGGATTCATCGGATTCAGGAGTGAGGTCCAATGAGAGTTCTCCCAATCACTCTCTGCACAATGAAGTGGCGGATGACTCCCAGCTTGAAAAGGCAAATCTCATAGAGCTGGAAGATGACAGTCACAGTGGAAAGCGAGGAATCCCACATAGCTTGAGTGGCCTGCAAGATCCAATTATAGCTCGGATGTCCATTTGTTCAGAAGACAAGAAAAGCCCTTCCGAATGCAGCCTGATAGCCAGCAGCCCTGAAGAAAACTGGCCTGCGTGCCAGAAAGCCTACAACCTGAACCGAACGCCCAGCACTGTGACTCTGAACAACAACAGTGCTCCAGCCAATAGAGCCAATCAAAATTTTGATGAGATGGAGGGAATTAGGGAGACTTCTCAAGTCATTTTGAGGCCTAGTTCCAGTCCCAACCCAACCACTATTCAGAATGAGAATCTAAAAGGCATGACACATAAGCGAAGCCAACGTTCAAGTTACACAAGGCTCTCCAAAGATCCTTCGGAGCTCCATGCAGCAGCCTCTTCTGAGAGCACAGGCTTTGGAGAAGAAAGAGAAAGCATTCTTTGAGAAAAACAAGCAAAGGAGAAGAGTATTACTGTACCCTTATGACAGAATTGTCCTGGATTTTGACTCCATCCACGCCCATCACCTTTCTACATTTCGCTGACAGATCAGTAACAGATGATGAGGCCGAGGTAGAAGAGACATCCACAGTGTGACAGAGGGAGCGCGAGAAGCATGACTCATCAGCCAGCCTCTATTGTCTTTGTAATTAGAAGCTTCAGAACTCACTAATACCACTGTACCTTTCATTGGCGCATTACCCCATAAAACTTTTTGAGATGAGGTGAGATCTGGGTATAAAGATAGGCCAGAAGTATTTTAAAGGGCTTAATTTGCCAAAAAGAAAAGTAAAAAGCTAGAGACCCTTTTTGCAGAACATTTGGTGCCCACACATTTGAGGGAAGATGTGGCTTTAGATGAAGCAGAAGCAAACCCTGCTCTTAGGGTCTCGTCTAGATGAGTGCACAGCCTATGACACTACAGGGAGAGGTCAGGAAACTGAGATCCAGCCTTCTGGGTGACACGGGCATTGTTTATCACAGAGGTTCTGAAGTTTAAGTAGCAAGTACATAATGAAGAGGGCTTTAAAAATTGCTGAGAAAGCGAGTCACCAGGGCTGGCAGTAGTGTAACGGGGCTGTCCTGAGCGGTTAGGAGAGTAGATGCTGGGAGGGCTGGTGACCTCCATGGGTTTATCTGTTGGAGACTCTTCTCTCCAAATCCCAGGCCTGGCTTCCAGCACCATCCAGCTGTGCCCAAGAAGCCACCCTGGTCCGTTCTCCAACTCTTTTAAATGGTGCCCAACTTTTCTAAGTGAGCTTAGCAATGAGAAGAAAAAAAAAACATGAATTCTTTATCTGGAAAATCAGGGAAACATGGGTAATAATAGGCACTAATAAATATTTATAGATGAGTGAATGAGGAAATAATTACATCAGAAAGGTCAGTGACAATTGATAAATGACAAGGAAATATTTAATTAGGTAAAACTAAATCATTGCTCTCTATTCTAGGATAGACTTTATCTACTTCGTCTGTTCCTAAGTCAGCATGTTAATTCTGGGGGAGGATCATAAGAAAGGAAATACTTTTTAAAAAAGAGTCTAAAAACATGTAACAAAGCAAGGATAAAATTATATATATATATATACACACACATATATATATATGTGGTGTGACTGTAAAACTGTACTTTCCATTAATTATTAGCGGAGTTAAGAGAATGATCACATTGAAGTACTGTGTGGACTAGAAATGTGCCCTGTCATCATGCAATGAAATGTTATCGTTTAAACATAGCTCATTTATGTAGAATGAATTCTGGCGGTTTACCCCACGTCACAGTTAGGACAGTAGATGGTGAGATCGCAGATGCACAATTATCTAGATTCCGTGTTACATTTTCAATGTTTATCACTCAGTGGATTTTTATTAATATGCTGATTAAGTTATTTACTTGGCCAGTCATTGTGCTAAATAGTTGCTCTTTTGTGTTTCATTGCCGTGATGTTTGAGTGTAATCTAGCATTTTAATACAGTGTTTATTTTGCATGATCTTTAACAAACGTGTTAAGCAATTTTAAAAAGGCAGGATGTTGTTGACATTATACACTGAAGTCTTAACATTTTAATATTTATAGTGCTTATTAGTTTGCAAAGTTGTATACTTAGGAATTATTTCAGAGACAATGTTTTCTTTTTCAGGTGAGTAGTTGCCGCGTAATATCATTGGATACATTCTTTATACTGTTTGTGAAATTAATACTAGCATATTAAGTGTATAAATAGATTTAGAAAACAATAAAAAATTGCATGCTATTCTGACTCATGAATTTTTATTCACTATGATGATTCACATTTTGATTAAAAATAAAAGTAGTTTGTGTGTGTGTTTTGTCACATGTCTGAAGTTTGTTAAAGACTTTCAGGTTCATGTACAGTCATGCAGTTGGCAGAAGTGTTCTGAACTGCTCCCAACTAGTCTTTGTAAGAGAATGTGACTTGTAAGTCCCAGTGCCTCAGTGGTGCTTTATGAAGCGTTCATGCCCACAGCATGCTAGTGCCCAGCAGCGCTGTGCAGTGCGTTCCTGTAGATAGAAGAGGTAGGTTATCCAGATCCTGGAGGATATCAGTTTATTCCATGAACTTCCTGAAAAAGTTTGCTTTTTCATACTGATCCCAAAATTGACAAACCAGATGAGTTACTGAGTCATACACCGTCTCCCTTGAACCTGTGTGTCTATGTGTGTGTATCTGTTCATAGCTCAGTCTGATTCTCATTTATGCAAAACTCTACTTTTTTTTTTTTTTTTTTTTTTTTTTCTTAGTATATGAATTCATATAACTCTGTTACGATTTTAGCTCAGTGCTGGATAACCTCCGCATTTTGTATTTTAGTAGAGGGTTCATGTTAGAGATTCGATTCTGACCTATCCCGTCTCCTCCAAGGATTACGCTTGACCCCCCCGCAAACTCTACTTTAAATTAGGTGAAAAATGATAGAAAAAGAAATTGGTGCTCTAATCTTTCCCTTAGATTCTATGTCATTTAGAGTCCTGTGGGGGTTTTTTTGTGTGGTTTTGTTTGTTTGTTTGAGGCAGGCTCTCTGTCATCTAGGCTGAGTGTAGTGGTGCCATCATGGCTCACTGCAGCCTCGACCTCCTGGGCCTAAGCTGTCTCCCAGCTCAGCCTCCTGCGTAGCTGGGACTATAGGCACGCACCACCACACCTGGCTGATCTTCCATTTTTTGAGGAGATGCAGCCTTGCTATGTTGCCCAGGTTGGTCTTGAGCTCCTGGATACAAGCAATCCTCCCTCCTCGGCCTCCCAAAGGCCTGGGATTATAGGCATGAGCCACCATGCCCAGCCGAGTCTTGTGTTTTATATACCATTTTGCCTTCAGTGTAAGCCACAGACAGTTCTGATAATGTAGCAAATAATAAGCCAGATATATTCACTGTGGCCTTATGGAGTGCTGTCTGTGAGTACAGGCTTTCTGCAGGAGAAGACTGGAGATAAAAAGAAGCTGTTGATCTCTTTCAGTTGAAATAACTTCCACAGTGCTGGGTATTTAGGGATCAGCTCTCCAACACTGGGAAATTTAAGCATTCATAATAACATTTTCAATATGAAAAGGAAATTTTTTTTCCCTTTTATGTGTTTCCTTTAATATGTGTAAGTGTTTTATTTTACTTACATAGGTTTATATAGTGGTCAGAATAATTTTGATTGCCTAGCCAACTAATTTTAAATGAAACTTACTTGCGAAAATGCTAATCTCGAGACCTCTTTAGACCATTTGCATGTTGAGTGCTGCAGTAAAATATATTTGTAATTATCCTTTTTTTTTGCTTACAAATACTAACCATTAGAAGATATTTTTTGAATGAAAGTAGATCTTATGGGTAAAATACTAAATTTAAAAGGTGATTTTTAGTTACACCCGGAATTCTCAGCCTATTTAGAAGTATCCCATAGTTTAAAAATCCAGGAATCTCTGAATTCCTGGCTAACTCCTGAGTAAAATCAACCTATCTGCCAGGAAAAGCACTAGAACGCACTGTGCCCCTTCATGGGCGAGTGACTTGAGGGAATCCATGGGTAAAAGGGAAGGTGCCGTAAGTTAGCTTCTTTGACCAGCACTCCAGACTGAGCATCGAGGCTCCTTTATTCCCACCTTCTCTTCCAGACGCACGCCGACACTGGGCAGAAGGGAAGAAACCAGTGGGGATACTGTTCTCTTGCAGGGGCAGCATGAGCAGACCCAGGTGGGCTCTCTGAGACTATTGCGTTTTGAATTTCCAGACTGTGGTACTCCCTATCCTTCCCTACCTCAGAATTCTAAGCATAGGCCATAATTATGCAACTGAATTGAAAAATAGAAACATACAGGCAACAGCCAGCACTGGATAGTTTTTTAATGGCTTATCACAAAGGTTGAGAATCCCTGGTTGAGACTGATTAAATAGAGAATTTACAATCTTACATAATTTTAAACCCTTTCATGCCTAGGAAGAAAATGCTGGCCTTGAGATAGATAGCTCTTCAGAGGATCCAGATTAAACTAAGGTAGGTAAAAAAAATTAGTTTTCAAAGTCAGCTACAGTCATATGCCACGTTAGGATGTTTTGGCCAACAAGGGACCACATGTATAGTGGGCCCATAAGATTCTAATACTGTATTTTTACTGTCCCTTTTCTATGTTTAGACATGCAGATAGCATGGTGACAGTTGCCTGCAGTATTGGGTACCATGCTGTACAGGCGTGTAGCTAAGAGCTGGCCTTGGCACACAGCCTAGGTGTGTCGTAGGTGCCACCATCTAGGTCTGTTTAAGTGTGCTCTGTGATGTTCCCACGACAAAATCGTGCACCAGCACGTTTCTCAGAATGTATCCCTGTCGTCAGGTGATGCATGGCTGTAATTGTAAGCCAGCTGTTAAAAAAGTTCTTGCCAATTAGAGAATTTATATTCTCACCACTTTAACAAATAGCGTTAAGTAAGAAACCTCTAAAGTGGTTGCTAGAAATTAAATATTGTCACCTACCTGGTCAAAACCTTTTAAGTAAAATGATTAGCCAATCACAGCCTTGGCTTACACTGGCCTCAGAGTCTGGTGTGTGCCACGCTCACGTCCTGTGGGTGGAATGTTTCATGACAAGGACTTTGTGGAATTCAGAAGCCCTTTTTGAGTGGGGCCTGAGTAGCTGTAGGATGGGCAGATCTGAATTCCCAGTACAGTGTGGCATTTTGAAAAATAAAGAATGTGTAAGAATAAAAGACTCAGTCAAGAAGGAGGAGCAATTATTGTCAAACTACTCGAAGGATGACCCTTTAAAAGTCAGTAAAAACCTATCTGGAGTGAAAGACCAACTTAAATGAGCAATAGCATGAATTACAGAATATAAAATAAAGACAAGCGTTCCTGCTTCAAAGCACACGAAATATTCTGAGTCTGCCTGTGGAGCATCAGCTGCAGTCATCTTCTTACCAAGAGTGCACGTAAGTCCATTTTCTTAGGTTAAATGCGCTTTTTGTAGTGTTGCTTACACTGGTGGTATGTGCTAGGAACCCTTTCTTAGTTTTTCTGAGATTTAACAGAACGTGGAATAACATGTTCATGGATCAAACTGAATTCTTAGAACTTGAGTACATGAAACTTCCTTTTAGAAGCAATGTAGAATTACATGCTCCATATTATTCAAATTAAGAAGCTTTTGAAATAATAAGACCACCTTGATTATCCATGATCATTTTCTAATTTTGACATTTTGTACATATTTACCTCGTTTTCTTTCAAGGCAACAGGGGCTCTAGATCTTAGTACCCTGCCCATAGACCCAAGCACTTTCCTCATTTCTTCTGACAGTTCGAGTCACTTCTCACAGTTGACTTCCTCACCAAATAATAAAGGGGTGAAGAAGACTCGGCCTACCTACCACTCAGTAATCCTGCTGTCCAGTCGACTGGAGAAGAGAGATTTGTTCACCTCTACTAGTTTTATTTGTTCTTAGTAGTTGTAGAATTTAAGTTGGTTTTAATGAAATGTTCCTTCTATGAAATTTTAAATAAAAGCCATTTAGTATTTAGTATATATTTAGTATAGCAAGAAGCATGTGAATAAGCTCTATATAACCTGACATTGCGTATCTTATAGCATCCTCTTGGTCAGATGTCTAATAAAAAGTTAGATTGTTATTTTCAAATTTATCATAGTTCCTGATACTTGCACTTTTTAAAACTGTGTTTATGAGAATTTATAGACTGCATATTGTTATACTTGATGGAAATTGAACTATTTATTTTGAAAGAAGTTAATTTATATTTTGAATTCTTTATGTTTTTCTCCTTTTTCCTGAGTTCTTTTCAGTCATTTTGTGTTGTAGGTTTTTTTTTAGGTTATCATATATTTTTCTTTTTTAGGTTGCCATCCTATTTTACTGTAAAACATTTCTTAGAGCAGTAGATTGGGAAAGAGCCTCAAGACATCTTTTAGACCAAATCCTAGATTTCAGTGGACATTCGATGAATACTTGTTGGCCAGGTGCCGTGGCGCACGCCTATAATCCCAGCATTTCAGGAGGCCAAGATGGGAGGATGGCTTGAGCCCAGGAGTTCAAGACCAACGTGGGCAACATAGTGGGATTCCATCTCTACAAAAATAAAAATAAATTAGCTAGAGATGGTGGTGTGCACCTGTAGTCCCAGCTACTCCGGAGGCTGAGGTAAGAGGATTCCCTCAGCCTGGGAGGTTGAGGATGCAGTGAGTGGTGATCACACCATTGCACTCCAGCTTACAGTATGAGGCCCTGTCTCAAATAAATAAATAAATAAATAAATAAATAAATAAATAAATAAAACTTAAGTGAATGAATAAACTAGGGGAGCAACTCTGAGAGTGTCCACCCACAAATCTTACACAGTGCCTTCAAAATACTAGGTGTGGTGGCTCACACCTGTAATCCCAGCACTTTGGGAATCTGAGGTGGGCGGATCATCTGAGGTCACGAGTTCGAGACCAACCTCGCCAACATGGCGAAACCCCGTCTCTACTAAAATACAAAAATTAGGCAGACGTGGTGGCAGGCGCCTATGGCCCCATCTACTCAGGAGGCTGAGGCAGGAGAAGCACTTGAACCTGGGAGATGGAGGTTGTGGTGAACTGCGATCGCACCACTGCACTCCAACCTGGGTGGTTGTGCCACAGCTCCTTACAGGTCCCACCTTCCCTCTCACTTTCTGCCCACCCTGTTACCTGCCTGGCCCCTGTAAGCTTTTCTGCTTGTGATTTTGGAAATCTTTCAACTGTAATAGCATGCTTTGTTGCAAACTCTCAGGGACTGAAGCCAGGCATGATGGCGTGCACTTGTAATCCCAGTTACTTGGGGAGGCTGAGGCGGGAGGATCACTTGAGCCCAGGAGTTCAAGACCAGCCTGGGCAACATAGCGAGAACCTGTCTCATAAAAAGGAAAAAAATGGGGGGAAAAACCCTCCCAGGGATAGATATTCACAGCCAGTCTTGAGAAGCGCCATCATTTTAAAGTGCAAGGCTGTGCCTCCCACATGGATGATTATTTAATCCTCTTATACACCATCACAGAATGTCTGAGATGTGGGTTTATCCTATCTGTAGCTCAGTTCTTCAACCATTCTTTTAGCAAGGCTAGTTATCTTCAATGACCACCCCTTGCTGCCCTCTACTATCTCCTCCCTCAGATGGATTACTCTGATTAAGCTTGAGCTAGAATAAGCATGTTATCCTGGGATTCCATATTGAATATTTTATACATGAGTGAGCCATTATGAGTTGTTTGAGAATTTATTATATTGAGGGAGGGTAACCGCTGTAACAACCATCACCAAATCTAATTGACTGAATACATTTGATGTTTATTTCTTGTTCATATGACAGTTCACTGTTACCTAAATTTACATGAAGACCCAGAGGCCCAAGCCCCTTCATTCTGGGCCCCACCGACCTCCAAGGTTTCAGGGCCCTCTGCCCCGCCTTCTGCACCCAGAGGGGAAAAGAGTGGAGGATGCACACACCCAGGCCCGGAAGCAACGCATGTGGCTTCCTCATCCACAGACCTCACCCACAGTCTATTGGCCTTCTTAAGTCATGGACTCCTACTGAGCTGCCAGGGTGCCTGGGAAATCCATGTGACTGTGCCCTGGAGGAAGAGGAGCGTTTCGGTGAGCACACAGGAGTCTTTGCCACTAGCTGCTGATGAGGATTCCCCACAGCCAATGAAGCATGGAGACTCATCTTGTAACAAACAGATGAGTTGTTGACATCTCTTAAGTTTGCTTTGTGTGCAGTTTTTATTCAGATAGAAAAGGCTGTTAAAATCTTAACACCTAACTGGAAGAAGGGTTTTAGAGAAGGGTGGGTTTCAGTAAGCCAGTTCTTTCCACAATCCAAGAAACGAAATGAATTCCCAGTGTGGAGCAGTGTGCAGGTCAGGTTTTTGTTGTGGTCTCGCCCAGGCTGGAGTGTAAGTGGTGTGGTCATAGCTCACTACATTCTCAAACTCCTGGCCTTAAGTCATCCTCCTGCCTCAGCCTCCCAAAGGCAAGTAAGGTTAAGAGTAGGGGAAATGTGAAGTTTCACAGCTTTTCTAGAATTATTTTTATTAAAGGGACTCTCAGACCGTCAAACTCTCCCAGAATCTGCTCGGTTTTCAAAATTTGCTTATAAATATTTATAATATAAACATTCAATTGCTATCTGTTTTTTAGATTCTCCTCTCTCTGCCAGAAGAGTGGTAATAGGAACTCTTGGGGGCTTCTCCCTGTTCTTGCAGGTGTGGCCGGATGTGGTCCTGGGGGGCTCCCATGCCAGTCCACACCCTCTGTGGAGTAAGCAGGGATTGGTAGTTAATGAGACCCTAAACTCTCCCGAAGCGAGAGCTCATGTCCCAGAAACACATCTTCCACCTCAGAAGCCAGTGGGAAAGCTGCACTTTGTGTCTGCATGTTTGTTCTTACACACACTCTTCTGCAGCCTAACTCTGCTGACCACTTTCCAGTTTGCTCAGATCAGACTTTCTTTGGTTCTAAGATACATATTTTCTTCTTACATTCTAACTTGTCAGAAATTAGAATATGTCTTGTAGTCAATAAAATCTATGGCAACATTTTTTTTTTCTTAATGGTTCCTAAAACTCCTGTAGTTGATGGTGTCTTGCTTAGGTTTAATGAAAGATATTTTAATATATGGCATGGTTATGTTGAGTTGTATCTCTATCAGTATTAATGGGCTGGGGATGATTTATATTCAAGTGAACCCCCAAACTCAACCTTTTGTGTTGAATATTTTATCAGTTACTCTTTATCCTGTACTCATTTTGGATACTTACAGTATTGTATGTATTTGTTATAATAAAATGGCTTACCGTGTTTGAACGCGCTGTGTATCTGACAATGTTCTAAGACCTAATTTGATCTTCATGACAACTTCATAAAATAGTTACTATTATTCTCAATTCACAAATGAGAAAGTGAGACACAGAGATGCTAAGGAATTGTTCAAAGTCACACAGCTACTGAGTGGCAGAGCCAGGGTCTGGGCCCAGGCAGTGTGGCTCCAGATGCCACCCACTCTTGACGTGATACTTACCGTGAGTGCTCCTTACCAGTTAGGGATGAGCTGATTCTCATATTTTTCCAAGATACATTTTAATTTAAGCTTTATTTGCTGCATCATCATTATCAGTATCATCATCATCATTGTCAGTTTTCTTGTTTTAAAATAGGGTTTGGAGTCTCTTCAAGGCTTTCTGTTTTAGAAAAGTAAAACTTAAAAATCTATAGCCATGTGAATTATACTTATAGAGAAAAAGAGTTGTTTTGTTAACATCAGACATCTTTTTCCTACTAATTATTTTGGAACAATGTTCAGTATCAGGCTAGCAATCGATGGATATCACTCATCCAATTATTATGCATGGATTAAGCCATGACCTTAAAGTGTGTACATAGTGTTGAATATATTCATCTTATTTGCAGTCTTATTGTCATCTAGCTTAAATACACTTGCCCTTTCATATGTCTGTTGTCACTATTCTGTGTAAGATTATAATCCTAAATACCACTATATGTATTTTTCTTCATATTCTATTATTGAACAGTATTAATGCTTAATAAATGTTAATATATAAGTAATATATGTATACTTTAAAAATTATTACTGCTGTAGAGTTTTTTTTTTTTAAATGATTGTGGTCTCATAAGGAAAAAAGAAAACAGGCAAAACAGGAGCCCTTTTCCCTTTCATAATGACAAGTCAGTCACCAAAGCCAAAAGCCAATAAATGCAGCAGTCACAGTGGACAGTGGGTTGAAATGGCCTGGTGACATTTCTGTGTTATGTAACCAGTTGCCTACCAATTGGAGTGCTTGCTGCAAGCCAGACACTCCTATCAGCATTTCACACGGATTAACTCTTTAAATTCTGATAATCCCACACAGTGAATACTGTTACTTCCCCTAGTTTACAAATAAGGAGGCTAAGATACAGAAAACGTGTAACTTTTACACAATAGCACATTTGATTTTTATAACTGTCCTCTAAAACATTGACATTATCTATTTTTGAGAAAACTTAACATTCAGGAGTTGGAGACCACTCCTTCCCCCAAAGCCACCCAGCTAGTGACAGAACAAAAACACCAACTCCAGTTGTCTAAGTCCAGATCTGATGCATTTTCCATGCACACCGCGGTACCAGCTTCCCCCAGTGTCCACCACTCTTGGCTGCACAGGCCTGGGCAGCATCTGTCTCCATCTTCCCTTGTAGAAAAGGTTGGCAAAGAGCATGAAACACGTGCTCAGCCGAGGCAGCCCCAGGTTTCCCCAGCTCCTTCCTCTTGGCTCTTCCTCGAATCACAGCAGCCTCACTGCTAGGCAGGAACGAAGTCCAGATCTGCAGGTGATCCTGGACCAGGAACTCATTGGATCTTTGAATCCTCATCTCTCTCAAAATTCCTCTGTCCAGCTACACCATCCTCACTGATGGGATCTCCTAAACTGAACTCTCCCTTTTGGTATAAACATAACTAATTTGAAATAGATTTAAACTGGTGGTGTGTGTGTGTGTGTGTGCATTTAAATTTTACATTGTCAGGTAGCTGATTTGATCAAACCCATCACTAAATTGGTGAGTTCTTTGGTTAATAAATTGTAAATTGAAAGAACAGCTGAGTCAGAAGGCTTGAGTTATGGGCCTGGCTCTGTTACTTATTTATGTAGTGGCCATTGATTTTTCAGCCTAAGTTTGTCTTTTAAAAGTACAAATGATGAAGGAACAAGAATTATCCCTTTGACAACTGGTACTACCTTCCCCATGCTTATTATGTGTTAGTCACTTTGCAAATATCAGCTCCCTAATCTGTAGGGAGCTAAGGCTTCAAAACCGTCCCCAATGCCTCGCAGCTGGTACGTGTTAGAACAGGGATCTGAACTCACACCTGACACCAAAGCTAATTAATATACCTCCTGCTGTGCCTTCTGCCTCTCCAGCAATGAAGGTGAACTCAGTTTCCAGGCTCCAGGTAGTATTAAAGAGACAGTCACAGGCATGTGGAGTAAGAAGAAAATGCTGTGGTCATTTCATCCAGCTCCCTCATGCTTGCCGATGAGGAAATCATGAAGTGGTTCTGTCATTTCAAATGATACACAGGAGGGTTAGCTTTCATCCCGCTTTTGGTTGCATTTGATCTCTTCTTTTGGGTCACCTTCTGGCTAGCAGAATACAGTTTCTTGCCATTAGAATTAGACTTCTTGGGTGCTAATATTCCTTGTTTTTTAGATACCTAAACTCATTTCTTTCTTTCTTTCTTTTTTTTTTTTTTTTTTTTGGACGAGTCTCACCCTGTTGCACAGGCTGGAGTGCAGTGGTGCCATCTCGGCTCACTGCAACCTCCATCTCCCGGGTTCACGTGATTATCTTGCCTCAGCCTCCCAAGTAGCTGGGATTGCAGGCATAAGCCACCACGCCCAGCCCTCCTTTCTTATGAAATTAAAGGTGAGTTATCAAGTTTAACTGCATATCTGGAATGGTACTATACCCATTTTTCAGAAAATATCCTTTTCTCTAAAGAGTCCCAGGATGTTGAAAATGCTCAGTGCCTGGACCTATTTTCCAAAAAAAGTTTGCATTTCTCATAACTATTCTATTATTAAAAGAGAATTGATGATCTCTTAAAGTGTAAAGTTATTTAAAAGTTATTTTGAAGTGAGAGCACAGGTAATTCATTCTTATAACAAAATATTAAAAATGCCATGGGTGTGTATTGTGAAGAGTTTTAAGTTGCTTTGGAAATACAGCATTTGCATCTTGTATTTTTGATAGTTTAACAAGACATCAAAGCTGCGTTGCAGATGTCTCAGCAAAAATATTTCCATTAATAAGCAGTTCCTAGGGTTAGCAAATTAACATGATCACAAATAGCATGTCAGAAATTTGTATCCCATGTTTATGGAAGTACTTCTTTAACATTTTCCAACTAGTTTATTTTTAACCTCTTTTTTTAGAAGATTAATTTTCTTTTAAAGATTTTATTGATTGGAAGTTACAAAGTTCTTGATATTTCAAAAATAATTCAAGCCCATTGGTTTTGTTTTGGTTAGATTTTTTGAATAGTATAAATTTAGTTACAAACTGCACTAGAACATTATGATTCCAGAAATTACATGTGAAAGGCAACTCTTTTTTAGCCTTGGAGTTGGTCATTAGATAAACACCATTCTAGGTCGGGAGGGTGGCTCAGGCCTGTAACTCCAGAACTTCGGGAGGTCAAGGTGGGAGTACTGCTTGAGTGCAGGAGTTTGGGACCAGCCTGGGCGACATAGTGAGACCCTCTCTCTACAAAAAAGTAAAAATTAAAAAAAATTAGCCGGACATGGTGTCACACACCTGAAGTCACAGCTACTTGGGAGGCTGAGGTGGGAGGATGACTTGAGCCCAGGAGTTTGAAGTTGCAGTGAGCTATGATCACATCACTGCACTCCAGCCTGCGTGACAGAGTGAGACTCTGTCTTAAAGAAAACCCAAAACTGTTCTAAATATCATAATTAATTTAATATTTTCTATGATTGAAAAAATTGTTAGGTTAAGATTTATCCTATTTTAGCTGTTCTGCCTTATGTTTTTTTTTTTACATAAAATCTACCATGTTAGTGGCTGTATTAAGGTTCTCCAGAGATGCAGAAACAATAAAGTGTAGATAGACAGACAGACAGATGGATGCCTAAGAGGAGATTTATTGTGAGAATTGGCTTATGCAATTATGGAGGCTGAGAGGTTCCACAATCTACTGTCTGCAAGCTGAAGAGCCAGGAAAGCTGGTGATGTCACTTAGCCCAAGTCTGAAGCCCTGAGAAATGGAGGGTGAGGGAAATGGGTGGGGGAAGCTGGTGTGTGAGTCCTGGAGTCTGAAGCCTTGAGAACCAGGGGTTCTGAGGTTGAAGGGCAGGAGATGCTGACAGTCCCAGCTCAAGAAGAGAGAGGAGGCCGGGCGCGGTGGCTCACGCCTATAATCCCAGCACTTTGGGAGGCTGAGACGGGTGGATCACGAGGTCAGGAGACAGAGACCATCCTGGCTAACACGGTGAAACCCCGTCTCTACTAAAAAATACAAAAAACTAGCCGGGCGTGGTGGCGGGCGCCTGTAGTCCCAGCTACTCGGGAGGCTGAGGCAGGAGAATGGCGTGAACCCGGGAGGCGGAGCTTGCAGTGAGCTGAGATCCGGCCACCGCACTCCAGCCTGGGCGGCAGAGCAAGACTCCGTCTCAAAAAAAAAAAAAAAAAAAAAAAAAAAAAAAAAAAAAGAAGAGAGAGGATTCACCCTTCCTCCGCCTTTTTTTCCTATTTGGGCCTCGGCAGATCAGGTGATACCCACCCACGCTGGCGAACGTGCATCTTCCTCAGTCCACTCACGAAAACTCTGACCTCTTCTGGAAACACGCCCACATACAAGCCCAGAAATACTGTTTTACCAACTGTTTGGGCATACCTTGCCCAGACAAGTTGACACATAAAATTAACCCTCACAATATCCATTCACAGATGAGGAACGTGTACTAGTGTTTTCTGAAACAAAGGCAGACATAACGAAACAAAAGACCAAGTGGAGGGCTGGCATCGCCCAGGAACACAGATATGGAATCCATCGCAATGGGAGGGAGGCAGAATACATGGGCACAGATGTCAGAGTCCACACCCAAAACTACTTTAAGTGTAATACAATTAAAACAAGTGAGTTTTGGGGTATGCACATCATACCTCAACACAACTATTTAAAAATATTTAAAACATTATTTTATTTAGTATTATTGAAAATTTTATGAACCTTATTTTACATGAAGGAGAGGAAGAAAAATGTTCCTCATAAACCCATAAACAGGGAGATAGGCAAATACAGGAGAGCAGCCGGGGTGGGAAGGCCATCATCCTGTCTGAGCTCAACTGAACGTAAAATGACAGTAACCCAGATGGTGTGGGACTGGTTTAAGAGTGGACATGCAGATCAATAGAACAGAACAGAGACCCAAAATGTCACCCCCCAAATATATTTTGACAAAGGCACGAAGCAATTAAATGGATAAAGGATTATTTTCAGCTATCCTTTACACGGATAAAGGGTGCTACAACAATTGGACGTTTATATGTTCTCCCTCTTCCCCAAAAGATCCTAGATATAGATCTTAAACCTTACACAAAAATTAACTCAAAAGGAATCATAGATCTACATGTAAAATGCAAAACTATAAAACACTTAGAAGAAAACATCAGAGAAAATCTACATGACCTTGGATTTCATGGGGAGTTTCACAGGCTGTACCAAAAGCATAATCCATAAAACAGGGTCGTGGGCAAACATCTCAGTGCTATAAATCTTGAGATACCCAGCAAACCTGAGAGAGAAGCACAAAGATGAATGGATATAAACAGGAAAAGGGGATGAAGAAAGTTGATGAATGGGAAGGGGAGCAGCCTCTACCAGACCGCTTTCCCATCAAATTGAGAACTGCTTCCATCCAAGCAAGCCAAATCCTTGGCTTCCTGCAAGCCCAGCCTCGTGAGACCTTTTCAGTTTACTTTGATCCTATTTTCCTACTTATTTAAAAAAATTCAGCTGCAATTAAAGTCACTAACACCTAATCTCACACTTGATTATACTCTGCTCTCTTGTATTAGCTTCTAATTTTACATAAGTGTTGTTTGCCAGAAATTTTGAAATTCTTTCATTTAGGATTTATGTTTCCATTGTTTTTAATCTCCCAAAGTGCAAAGCTCAGTACTCGGGTACCTGAAAGGAAAATACACATGCTTTTAAAAAGGAAGGGTACAGTCTATTCTCACTCTGCTATAAGGACATAGCCGAGACTGGGTAATTTATAAAGGAAAAAGATTTAATTGACTCACAGTTCTTCAGGGCTGGGGAGGCCTCAGGAAACTTACAATCATGACAGAAGGGGAGGCAAACATGTCCTTCTTCACAAGGCGGCAGGAAAGAGAAGAATGAGGAATGAGTGCCCAGTGAAGGGGAAAGCCCCTTATAAAACTATCAGATCCCATGAGAACTCACTCACTATCATGAGAACAGCATGGGGGAACCACTCCCATGATTCAATTGTCTCCCACTGGGTCCCTCCCACAACACGTGGGGATTATGGGAACTACAATTCAAGATGAGATTTGGGTGGGGACACAGCCAAACCATATCAGGAAGAAAGAAAACTGAATAGAAAGGGATCTAGAATAGGAGATGGGAAGGAGGGAAAAGATTTCTGGGCTTTCACGCCATTGGAGAGGTCCCGCCATGAGGCCACGGGCTTCCAATCTGCAGAGCTGCCTTTTGTGAGACGAAGCACCAGTACTGCATGGCCTATTTGTTAATTCCTAAATGGATCCCTTTTAGAAAGCAGGAGAGATGGTTGTAAGAGGACACCTAGCTTTCTTTAATACATTATTTAAATAAAAATAATTTTAACAAAGGTAGGTTATTTAAGTTCTTCTCTGTAGCCAGGGGTCAAGCTTAAAGCACAGGTGGAAAGAAGTACTTACGATTTTTTGCTTTGAAATTATTTTATAACTCCTATTATATTCCAGAAATACAAAACAAATCAATTAATAGGATTGAGGTAGGGAGAAAATTCACATAAGTCTGAACTAAGAGGAGAGGAGATCATAGCAAGGAGTAGCTGGTTAGAAAAACAAGAATAGCCTTACAGCTCTTCCCAAGAAGCCTTCATAGTGTCATCTTACCTTGGGTCTTTCTTGAATGTATTGTGAAATTCTAGAACAGCATACATAACTGTCACAAAAATTTAAAAAACAATCAAAAGTCTAATCTTTTGTAAGTAACTTTTAGATTCCATTTTTTTTTTGGGTGGGGGGGCAGGATCTCGCTCTGTCTCTCAGGCTGGAGTGTGGTGGTGCAATCACAGCTCACTGTAGCCTCGTACTCCCAGGGTCCTGCCTCAGCCCCTCCCAAGTAGCTGAGACCACAGGTGTGTGCCACCACACCCAGGTAATTTTTAAATTTTTGTAGAGACCAAGGTCTCACTTTGTTACTCAGGCTGGTCTCAAACTCCTGGGCTCAAGCAATCCTCCCACCTCGGCCTCCCAAAGTGCTGGGATTACAGGCATGAGCCACTGGGCCTGGCCAGCTTTTCAATGATTTCGGCCATTACTCCCCTTCCCCTCTTTCACCAGTAGTGAGCATGCACATAAAGCATGGCCTGCAATTCAGTGTGGTGGTTGATTTTGCATGTCAGCTTGACTGGGCCATGGGATGCCCAGACATTGATTCAGACATTATCCTGGGTGTGTCTCTGAGGGGTTTCTGGATGAAGTTAACATTGGAACGAGGGACCAAGTAAAGCGGATTGCCTTCCCTTGAAGGGGTGGGCCTCATCCAATCAATGGAAGATCTGACTAGAACATACAGACTGAGTAAGAGGGAACTCCTGCCTGCCTGCTGAGCTGGGGCTTTGGTTTTTCTGGCCTTTGGACTTGGATTAAAATATTGGCTCTTCTTGGGTCTCGAGTCTGCCAGCTTTCAGACTGGAGGGGACACCACTGGCAGTCCTGGTTCTCAGACCTTCGAGTCCGGCTAGAACTCCGCATCAGCTCCCCCGGGGCCCAGCTTGCTGGCTGCAGAGGCTGGGGCTTCTCTGGAGAACTCTGACTAATACAGACTTCACTACTGAGAGTGGCTAAAGGACAGGACTTTAAGAATAAGTTTCCCGAATTGCTTCTGAGGTTTCTGGATTCCCACCCCTACCACCTGCTTTGCTTCTAGACCTAGAACTAGACCCCAGTGCCAGCAGGCCCCTAAAGGTTAGGCACAGTGGGAGCCAGGAGGAGGTGTGCCGCACTCCCAAAGAGTGCCCACGTTTTCTCATGTATATAGAAAGAAACCTGGGAAATGGGTGTGGAGGGACATCAAGAGTGTGAGACGATGCTGGGAGGAGCCTAAGGCCGGAGCAGGCTGAGTTCGTTTTGAGTCTGGCTCGCAGAGCTTCTTTCTGCGTTTGACGTTGCAGCTAAGCAAGTTGGAAAGGCTCTCGCAGTTTGGTTGGTTGAGTGGCTGAAACATGGACCAAAAGATGACCCACAGCGAGCGTATTGGAAATGCTGGACCAAATCTGTCTTTTCTTACTATGTTACAATAATAAAGCCAGCATCCATGTAACCAGAGCAAGGTTAAGAAACCGAAATTGTCAGCCAGGAGTGGTGGCTCGTGCCTGTAATCCCTGCACTTGGGGAGGCTGAGGTGGGTGGATCACCTGAGGTCAGGAGTTCGAGGCCAGCCTGGCCAACATGGTGAAACCCTGTTCCTACTAAAAATACAAAAATTAGGCGTGGTGGCAGGTGCCTGTAGTCCCAGCTACTCAGGAGGCTGAGGAAGGAGAATCGCTTGAGCCTAGGAGGTGGAGGTTGCAGAGAGCCGAGATCATGCCACTGCACTCCAGCCAGCCTGGTGAGTGAACAAGACTCTGTCTCAAAAAAAAAAAAAAAAAAAAAGAAAGAAACCAAAGTTGTCAGTATCTTAGCAATCACTCATGTGCTTCTTTGGGAGTACCAAAGACAGAACCACTGCCTTGACTTCGTGACAATCTGTATTAGGCTGTTCTCATGCTGCTAAGAAAGACATAGCTGAGCCTGGGTAATTTATAAAGGAAAGAGGTTTAATGGACTCACGGCTTCACAAGGCTGAGGAGGTCTCACAATCTTGGTGGAAGGTGAATGTGAAGCAAAGTTACATCTTACAAGGTGGCAGGCAAGACAGCGTGTGCAGAGGAACTCTCCTTTATAAAACCTTCAGATCTTCTGAGACTTAGTCACTATCACAAGAACAACACGGGAAAGACCTGACCCAGTCATTCAATTACTTCCCACTGCGTCCCTCCCACAACGTGTGAGAATTATGGGAGGCAGCTACAATTCAAGATGAGATTTGGGTGGGGACACAGCCAAACCATATCACAACCATTTCCTCACTTACCTTTATAATTTCACCAGTTATGTGTATGTTCCTGAACAACTTTTTTTTTTTCTTTTGAGACGGAGTCTTGCTCTGTAGCCCAGGCTGGAGTGCAGTGGTGCCATCTCGGCTCACCACAACCTCCACCTCCCAGGCTCAAGTGATTCTCCTGCCTCAGCCTTCTGAGCAGCTGAGATTACAAGTGTGTGCCACCACGCCTAGCTAATTTTGTATTTTTAGTAGAGATGGTGTTTCACCATGTTGGTCAGGCTGGTCTTGAACTGCTGACCTCGTGATCCGCCTGCCTCGGCCTCCCAAAGTGCTGAGATTACAGGTGTGAGCCACTGCGCCCCACCTCTTGAACAACTTTATCTGGTTTTGATCTCATATAAAGAATATCATACTGTTAGTATTTATCCTTGACTTATTTCTGGCACTAAACACTATTGGTGAGATTTGTTCCTATTGGTGTATAGCGATGTGCATCCTATAGATGTATAATAGTGATTATAATTCACTAATTTCCACTGCAGAATAGTACTCTATTGTATAAATATTTATAATTTATCTATTTACTTTATTGGATATTTGGATCGTTCTCCATTTTTATTGCCATGTTTGTATAGATACGTATTTACATGTCTCCATACTTATGGATGCATGATTACATCTGTTTACGTGTTTACATGTGCAGGAGTTTGGTCTTGGACTTTTCGTGTATAAATTTCTGGGCTTGAGTTACTTAAAAGAAATGTGTATTTTTATAATCAGAAAGAATATTGCAAAAAGAAAAGAATCTTTCAGATTTGTGACGTCTCTGGGCCTCCCTGGGCTAAATCTATAACTAGAGTCCCGTGGTGCTCATGAAACTTGACGAAGGTGCCAGGAGCTGAGGGTGACAGACGTCCGTGAGTGGAGGTGAGGAGACCGTCCTTGGGAAACAGAGTGAAATGGGGACTTTTCAGTTTGGGACAGTGCACGGAGAAGCAGAGGCGACCGATCGGAGGCACAGATGTCGTGGTGAGTGTGCTCGGCAGGCCCTGGAGTTCTGGAGCTCTCAGACCTTCTCTTCCTCTGCCCCTAGGTCAGCTGTCCCCTCTAACACAGCCTATCTAACACAGAATTCAGAATTATCCCCAAACCAACTCTCCCCTCTGCGTTTTCCTTCTTACTGTTGGCACTGTAATTATCTCCGTTTCAGGCTCAGAAATGGAGTGCTGTTCGCTTCCCCCTCATTCCCTCCTCCCAGCAGTCACCAAGCCCTCCACGCTCCCTCTGCAGCAGCCCTCCCTTGAGGGCATCTCCACCTGGAAGTTAGCCCTCACTATCACCTGCCTCCAGCCTCTCCCCCTTCATTCTAGTTTCCACACAAATGCCAAAGACTTTGTCATAGCCATCTCCTGCCCAGCGGTGTTCAGTGACTCCCTGTCCCTTGCAGAATTCGATTCTAATGACCTTAGGTGGTCAACCAAGACCCTGCGATATCTGACCCCATCTTACTCCTGTGCAAACTCCATTTCTCAGCTGAAGTTGTCCACTTACTGAGCTTTTCCTGAATATTCTGAAGACCTTCAGGAAACTGAAGGAACAGACAGTCCTTATCATTGTGTTTGTCCTCACTCCTTCCTGTGCCCAGAACTCCCCCTCCTTGCTTTGTCTCTTGCGGAAATGTTGTGCTTCTGGACATAGCATCTTCCCCTGAAAGGCAATTGTCCCGGGGGTAACGCTTGAAACTTAAAAACTTACTACAATCCAATGAAGTGTTTATTCATGCAGCCATTGCTGTCATCAAGGTGCTGGGCCGAGGGGCAAACTTGAATTTGTTAACAGAATTTATTCCTGAAAGAGCTGCAATAGTCCAAAACATAATTGGATCTCCAAAGTTTTTGAGAAATGTGATGAATGATGTTAAGAAGAATGTTCTTGTAACTTATGTTCGTGTAACTTATGGAAGCAGAAGAACCCTTGAGCTTAGTAATATTCAGAGGCATGGAGTCTAGTCCAACAGTCTTAATTTGCAAATTTAAAAATCCAGGCTCAAAGCGTTCTCCAGCATGTCACAACTTGTTTCACTGTGCAGCAGCATTAATCTCAACAATGTCTAAACTAGTCTTGTTCTAGAAGGCTACAACATAGAAGAATGTATTAATATGCGTTGGCTGGAAAGGAAGTAACTGTGACTTGAAGCGAAGAATGAGTATCAAGTGTATGTGAAGTCTAATGTTCATGTAAAATTTAAATACATAGAAAAGGGACTTTTGGAACAAAATGACATCGAACGTGAGTGTGGCATGAAATTAAAATTAAACAAGATCTAGAAGATATCAGAGACAATCCAAGTGAGAAGTCAGCCACTTACAGAACCCTGAAAAATGTAAGATCCGTGAATTTAGCCAATTGCTAAGCACTGGGAGCAGGATGGAAGGCTTAACTTGAGAGAGTACATGGCATGTGCTGAAGGACAGCTTGAACCCAAGGTGAGCCTCTCTGAGATCTGTACCATGAAGCTGAGTGACAAGTGGAGAAATCATAAGGCCAAGCATTCGTTCTGGTCTTTCAAAGGAAACTGGACAAAAATAGCCTGGGTTTGAGGAAAACAGTAATTGGCGATGAAAGGTGGTGTCTTCTCTGTGACCCAGAAACAAAGTGTCAAAGTTTGCCCTGGAAAATTACAACATTCCCAAGATCCCCAAAACTGCACATGTCAAAATCCTAAATAAAGAACACATGGCTTTTGTTCCTCTGATGTCTATGTATTGCTCCATCCAGGAGTCAAAAAGTCCATCCCTGCCAACGTGCTCACGTCCTGGAGGGTGTAAATGATGCTTCACCACGCACAGCTGAACGGGGCCCCCTGGCTGCTGGCTTCCCATGGTGGGGGCCTGGTGGATGGGGGGTTTCTGAGCAACCATTTCTGGCCAAAATCTATTAGCAGATTTATCACTTAGCTCATGAAGATACTAGCAGGTGTTACACACAAAAACTGGATTGTGGTCCTGTGACCTTAGAAAATCCAACCACATGGGTTGCTTTGTTACATAATTTATTAGAACTTTCAACATAAAATGTGAAACAAGCCCCAAGAAGAGAAAATGTGCGTCTCCTGCAAACAGATCCCACCCCAAAGCCTATTCCCCTGAGCACCCTTTAGGGCAGGTTCCATAGAACCAAACACCTTGGGCAATTCCAATAAATCCAAACCACCATTGACCATTTTCAAAACACTACGCTGCCACTGCTTAAATCAATTCCGAAGGAGGAGCCACTGAGGTTCTTCAGAGCAGAGGACACTCATCTCGGTCAATCTACGCACATAACCCTGTCTGACACAGAAGGATGGGAGAATAATCACCTGCGTCTCTTTCCTCTCTCTGCTGACACAGGTGTCAACCTACAAGGACAAAGGGCATAGGAAAGGCGGGGACGGCAGGTGAGAGGGTTCAACACTACTGGCTCAGCAGCCTACGAAGGAGATGAGGCGTGGCTAGTGTCTCAGCAGAGAAAGAAGCTACATCCTGGAGGCTTGCAGAAGAGTTCTCCAGAGAATAGTTGATGTGCAGGGTCTCTAAGGCCTGCAAAGGACCTGGAGCCCGGGGGCATCCCTTTGAGGCAGAGGGGAATGTGGGAATGAGACAAGGGAGGGTGACTCAAAGTCTTCACCTGGCCAGGTGAAGCCCCTGCTCCTGCCTGCACAGCAGGTGGCCATGCCTTTGGCCTCACTGAGGGAGGAGTGAGGATGGTGATTCTTTGGAGAACAGGAGGACTTGGTGATGTGGCTGGAGGGCGAGGCACGAGTTTTAAAACAAAGGGATTAGGTAAAATTCTACAATACTGACTAGGTGGGAGTCCTGTTCCCCTACCCTGCGTTCAGGAAGCTGACAGCCAACCTGCATCCCTAAGGCAGAAGACTGGGGGTTTCTACTCAAGGAAAATGGAGTAGTTCTGAATAAGACTGGGCCTGGGATTCAGGGTGTAGTTCTCCCCAGGCCTCAGTGAGGCCCACCAGCTGACAATTCCATCTCATCAACACAGCTGCTGTGTTTTCTATGGAGCTGTTTTGGCTACATGATTGAATATATCCAGGGGTCATCAAAAATTCTAGGAAAGCTTCTAATATAAAAGGGAGTGCCTAAAACAAACAAACGGGGGAAGATAAATAAAGAAATGACATTTGAAGGAAACAGAGGCAATGCAAAGAGCAGAAGAAAACTTAAAAAAAAATCCAATAAATATTTCCAGGGAGCTAACAGAAGATGCTACACCCCAAAACAGAATGCTATATATAAAAATGGAACAATTAGAGAATAAAAATACATTTTGGAAATCAAATAAGGTAGGCAAAATTTAAAATTTAATAGAACGGGTGAAGGATGACGTTCAGAAAATCTCCCATAACGTGGAATTAAATCACAAAAGAAGAATAGGAGGGAAACTTTTTTTTTTTTTTAAAGTTAGGCAATCTAGGAGATCCAACACCTAACAAACTGCAGTTCTACAAAAAGTAAATGGAGAGGAGGATTTATCCCAGAACGTTACAGGAAAAGTCCCCAGAAAGAAGGATGTGAGCCTTCATATGGAAAAGGCCCGCTGAATGGCTCGCATAGTGAATCAAAACAGTCACACCAATGCACATGATCAAGAAATTTCAGAATCTCTAGGATAAAGAGAGGATTCTGAAAGCTTCCAGAAAAAAAAAAAAAAAAAAGGTCATATAAAAATAATTCACAGGGCCGGGTATGGTGGCTCACGCCTGTAATCCCAGCACTTTGGGAAGCTGAGATAGGTGGATCACCTGAGGTCAGGAGTTTGAGACAAGTCTGGCCAACATGGCGAAACCCCATCTCTACTAAAAAATACAAAAATTAGTTGGGTGCAGTGGCAGGCGCCTGTAATCTCAGCTACTCAGGAGGCTGAGGCAAGAGAATTGCTTGAGCCTGGGAGGCAGAGGTTGCAGTGAGCCAAGATTGTGCCATTGCACTCCAGCCTGGGAGACTGAGCAAGACTCTGTCTCAAAATAATAATAATAATAATAATAATAATACTTCACCTACAAATAAAGGAATCATCACTGGAAGCTGGAAGACACTAGAACAAGCCTTTAAAATTTGGAGGGAAAAGTGCCATTCGTCTGATTAACAAATATTCTACTGGTTAACAACACACCAGGGGTTTGGTCTGGGTCCTGCTGCTCCCAGCATAGAAAGCCAATCACTGAGACAACAAGTATTGCCAGGGAAGAAGACTCTAACTGGGTGCTGCAGCTGAGGAGATGGGAGCTCAGTCTCAAATCCATCTCCTTGATTGACTAAAACTGAGGGCTCACATAGCAGGGAAATAATGTAACTACAGGCAGCTAAACAGGAATTAGGGAGAGGTAAGGAGATGAAAAAGAATGAGGGGGTCTGGCTTTTCATTGTCTGGATGTGGTGATCTGGTGAGTTTCAGTTCCTTGATACTATCTGGGAGGACTGAGGATTGGCTTCCTGGGGAAGGAACTCAGATAAGATGGATGGAAGTTGTCAATTATAAAGGTAATTGACTGTGAGGGTGGATTTCTATGTTTATTTTAAAAGACAATTGAGTGTCGTTCAGACCCAAGAAAAATATCAGTCAAGTGAGAGGGTACAATAATGGCATTTCTAAGTGTGCATGACTTTAATAGGTTACTTTACATGGCCCTTTCCTAGGAAACTGCTGGAGGGTACACTCTAGAAAAACAGGAGAGTAAACCAACAAAGAGGAAGACATGCTTGAAGTCAAGCACGTCAAGATTATAGCAAGGAGAGACTTCCTATACCAACAGCCAGGAATCCAGGCTGAAGCAGGAGGATGGAAATCTTTATGAAAAACAAGAAACTGATATGTTTGAGTGCATGGAAATATATTGATTAAACAGGTGACAGATTGGAGAACTGGGGTAAATATTTTTTAAAGGTTAGAGGAAAAAAGACAATTGAGAAAATATGACAATCAGCTTCAGAAAAACAGAAGGTACACGGAAGAAAACAGGTATGGACTTGATTTGCTACCTTGGTTCAATCTAGTTTTAATGAGATAAATGCTAATGTCTGACAACAGCTATGATTATAACCCTGGGAAGGTGAGAGAGGGGATGTGTATGTGTCTGATGATGGGGAGGGCTAAGCTCTCTTCACTGTGGTGGGAGGAAAATGCAGGACCCCTAAGGATGAGCCTAAGGATGATCTGTTGAGCAAGAGCAGTGGACACTATTTTTTTTTTTTTTTTTTTTTGAGATGGAGTCTCGCTCTGTCGCCCCGGCTGGAGTGCAGTGGCGCGATCTTGGCTCACTGCAAGCTCCGCCTCCCAGGTTCAAGAGATTCTCCTGCCTCAGCCTCCTGAGTAGCTGGGACTACAGGCACCCGCCACCATGCCCGGCTAATTTTTTGTATTTTTAGTAGAGACAGCGTTTCACTGCGTTAGCCAGGATGGTCTCGATCTCCTGACCACGTGATCCGCCTGCCTCAGCCTCCCAAAGTGCTGAGATTTCAGGCGTGAGCCACCACACCCGGCCCAGTGGACACTATTGATTTAGATACTCGGAGGGAAATCCAGGAAATGGCCGCAGCTCTGAAGTTGGTTGCCTTTGGGGAACGAGACTGATGGGTGCAGAGGGATGGGCCAGAGACTGCTGCTGCTTTTCATTCTGGGCCTTTAGTGTTCTTTGGATTTTTAAATTATGCTCATGTGTGACTTTGTTTAAAAATGAAAATTAAAATGAAGACATACGCATCTAAAGCTACCCAAGTTGCATTTCTTTATGGTTACTCCTTAAACCCCGAAGACTTTTCAGGCTGTTTGCAGAAAGCACACTGCTCGTGTCTTCCCGCCATCAGCAGATGCTGGGATGAACGATTAATACTCCAAGTGGAGCCTCCCTTCATTCTGAAGCAAGGCTCTTCAAACTGGAGGCACACAGGCAGGAAGGCTCGAGGGATCCGTCTTCAAGCGTCTGTTCCTCGTTCTCTCCCAGGAGCCGGCTGGCCTGGGAGTACCCCTGTCCCAGGGATCTCGCCCTCCCCTTGCCTCTCAGGTCCAAATCCCTCTCTGTGTTTACCTGAGGTCAACCCCCCTGGGTCCATCAGACAAGGCTACAAGGCTGGCTTGTATACCTTTCCTTTCAAGACGCTCCAAAAGCTGTGGCAGGACTTTGTGTCTCTCCCTGCCTCAGTCATGCTTCTGTTAGAGGAGGGCTACTTTAGTCCGTGTCAGGACATTCTGAATGTAGATACCCTGCTGAGGGCCAGCAGGAACGGTGACGGTATTGATGTGATGCCTTCCCGCCTGCTTCCCCAAATTATTGTTTGAAGAAGAATCCCCCGTGAGCAGAGCACCAGTGAGAAAGGCTGGGACGCTGGCTCTGCCTATACCCATGGGCGCTGGGCTCCTTCCCGACCCGGCATTCCACAGGGATTAGGATTGACTAGTCAGCGGTGGGGCTGTCAGGGACGCATCACTGACTTGTTTATTTGAATATTGAATGGAAAAATAAAGTTAGCTTTTTTAATAGCAAAAAGTAAGTCTGGGTTGGTTGATTTGACAATGAGGACTCTACCAATTTGTTTTTATGGGTACATTTTGCATAATAATACAGACTATTTCTGTGGCTCCAGTTTTGACAAAAGGTATTTCAAGCCCATAAGATAAAAAGCATTCTGGCTGGGCACAGTGGCTCAAGCCTGTAATCCCAGCACTTTGGGAGGCCGAGCCGGGCGGATCACGAGGTCAGGAGATCGAGACCATCCTGGCTAACACGGTGAAACCCCGTCTCTACTAAAAAATACAAAAAACTAGCCGGGCGAGGTGGCGGGCGCCTGTAGTCCCAGCTACTCGGGAGGCTGAGGCAGGAGAATGGTCTAAACCCGGGAGGCGGAGCTTGCAGTGAGCTGAGATCCGGCCACTGCACCCCAGCCTGGGCGACACAGCAAGACTCTGTCTCAAAAAAAAAAAAAAAAAAAAAAAGCATTCTTTCTTTTTTCTTTTTCTTTTCTTTTTTTGAGACAGGGTCTCACTTTGTCACCTAGGCTGGAGTGCAGTGGTGTGATCTCGGCTCACTGCAACCTCCACCTCCTGGGTTCAAGTGATTCTCAGGCCTGAGTCTCCAGAGTAGCTGAGATTACAGGCGAGTGCCACCATGCCTGACCAATTTTTGTATTTTCAGTAGAGACGGGGTTTCACCATGTTGGCCAGGCTGGTCTCGAACTCCTTCCTGACCTCAAGTGATCTGCCTGGCCTGGCCTCCCAAAGTGCTGGGATTAGAGGTGTGAGCCACGCATCTGGCCTAAAAAGCATTCTTTCAAAAACATTCTTTGAGAAAAGGTTTATTGACATGATTCATGTTTCCATTTTCTCAGTCCTTTCTGAGTACAAGCAGCTAGACAGGTGCCTTAAGCAAGAAAGTAAAAGGTAAAAATTAATATTCATTTGATACGTCTTGGTAAGGCCTTTTTACTATGATTCCCAGAAGTGGAGAATGTGAGTGACTCGGCCCTGGGGAAAGGATGGGTGTCCAACCTTTTGGCTTCCCTGGGCCACACTGAAAGAAGAGTTGCCTTGGGCCACGCATGAAAAACACAAACACTCACGATAACTGATGAGTTAAAAAAAAAAAAAAAAAGGTCTGTGCATTATTTTCGTGGTATCACCACCACAGATAAGCAAAAGAGTCCTTGCATTCCAAGGGCTGGACAACCGTGAAACTTGAAACCATCAATTTCAAACTCTTTACTTTCAGTAAAATTGAAGGCAGATGTACCTGAGTTGTCTTTGGATAGAATCGAAATGGTGACGCTAATGGTTCCCTATGTGATTTCTAGCATATCATTTGGAAGAAGTTGGAATAACCAGTGACATCCTTCCATCAACGCTGCCTCCATTTCCATCTCCTTGTTTATGTGGATAAGTTGCCTTGGCATTTATATCTATACAAATTTTAAAAAAGCAGGAATAAAATTCATGTCGAACTCTGGCTCATTCTACAGAAAGATAATATTCATCTATGGATACTTAAAATAATAAAAAAGACAAAAGTAAATAACAGTCTTACTCATCTCATTAATGGAATTATTGACTATAAAATATTATCTTAATGTTTATAAAAACTGTAAGGCATTGAAGAATAATTTGTGATCAGTGGAAATAAAAACATTTATAATTTCTGTATATTTATATATCTTCTTTTTACAGAAAAGTATGACAGGGTAATCAATAAATGATTTTCAAATATAAATATTTATTACATTAGAATAAAATCCTGTGGAGGAGATGGAATAGAAACACTAGTTCAGAGATTTAAAAACAATATGAAATATTTGACTCTTAAGGAAGAAATGGTTCTTTCTTGTATTTTAAATATGGGTGATCATAGCTATCCAATGGTGCTGATGTTAAATGGTTAGTGCATTTAAGACAATCATGTAATGATTTTGCATAAAATTTTCTTTTGCATACATTTAAAATAACAAAAATTTTAGATGACAACTTGTGGCAGGCCAGATGTCACTAACACAGGCCTCCATAACAACGTTTCAGCACTGACTGAATGGTTCGATCAAACATTAAAAGCTGAGAAAGCCAGTGCCGTCAAACAAAGGCTGGAGTGTAACAAAAGCCCACCAAGAGTTTTGCCTAGACCTTTCCTGGCCCTTAAATCATGACAAAATAATTAAGGAATTCTTAACAGAACCCGTTTAGGATTAAACAAGTTTTATTGGGGGTCTGAAAAAACTCTCCAGGCCTCCACAAACAAGTTTATTGGGGGTCTGAAGAAACTCCCCAAACCTCCGTAATTTAGCAGGAGACAAGATAAGGGTAATCACCCCAGCACCTGGACCCATTTAGATTAAATACGTTTACTGAGGCCCCAGTGACAGTCTTCAAGACTCAGACCTTAGTTACAGATTAGAAGAAGTTAATCACGCATGTCTTTAGAGAAATGCACACTTACATGTGTACATATAGCTTAGAAGGTATACAAACTCTGGAAAACTCTGTAATTTTGAGTTGGTCTGCAGATAATTTCCAGGTCTTCTCCCTGTAACTGGTTACAGAAATTAAAACTCCCTTCTCTCTCAGTTCATCTGCATCTCATTATTGGGCTGTAAGAATTAGCAGCCTGACCCTTGGTTTGGTCCGGGAACAAACTCAAAAATGTGTGAGCACATACACGGTTTTTAAAAATCCTATAAGGGGATTACATAAACAAAAATGTTTGAAGAGTATAATTCTAAACTGTTTGATCTTTTACCTTTTCCGATCATGTTCAGGTTATCACTTGCTGTGTAAGAAATATAGAATGGCATAAAACAACAGGTACATATTTTATTGTAGATAGTTATTATAAGTATTTTTTTTCTTATAGTTCTGCAGTGCTGGGGTCACTGGCCTCAGCCAGGTGTTCTTGCTCAGGTCTTTTAGGCAGGTGTGGTCAGGTGGTGCCCGGGGCTGGAGACATCTCAAAGGCTTCCTCACACAGACGTCTGATGGGTGGCGGTGGCTGTCAGCGGGGATGGCAGCTATTGGTGGCAACCGCTACTCAAGGCCTGTCTCTGCAGCCTGGGCTTCCTCACAGAATGGTGGTATATACCAAGTAAATGATTTTTGAAACGTCCAGAGAGAGAACCAGGCAGAGGTCACGTTACCTTTTAAGACGTAGTCTTGGAAGGCACAGAGGGTCACTTCCTTTCATTGCATCTGTGAAAGGGAAATAAATCTTGGGGTCTCAAAATCACTAAGCTAAAGGGAAAAGTCCAGCTGGAAACTGCGTAGGGCAAACCTGCCTCCCTTTCTATTCCAAGTCACCCCTCTACTCACTGGGGTAAATGCAAATCTGACTGCCTCCTCTGGAGAAGCCCATCAGAAACTCAAAAGATGCGACCATTTGTCCGAGTCATCCCTCCTTTGCTTTGAGTTGTCCCGCCTTTCTGGACCGAACCAATGTCCCTCTTATGTATGTGGGTTGATGTCTCCTGTCTCCCTAAAATGTTTAAAACCAAACTGTGCTCTGAGCACCTTGGATACATGTCCTCAGGACCTCCCGAGGCTGTGTCATGGGCGCACATCCTCAACCTGGGCAAAATAAACTTTCTAAATTAACGGAGACCTGTCTCCAATATTCGGGGTTCACACATCCTAGTGGAGGCAATCACGAAGTCCAGCTCGGCTTCAAGGGCAAAAGACACAGACGCCTCGCTCCTGTTGCAGGAGTGGTGGCGAGGTTCTAGAAGAGCATGTGGGGCCAGAAATATTTTTGCGGCCACAGACATACAAACGG